ACGTCATAAAGACAATGGCGGGAAGAGCGTTCACTAACTATAATAGTCAAGCGCGGGAAAAGCGTTCAACAACTAATGAACATAATATTGAGTCACAACAATTCCTAATGAACGCTCATACTCGACACCCACCTCAACCCAAAAATATTTAATTCCTTTAAAACGAAACATTCTAAATTTATTATTTTTTTAATATTGTGTTGATATCAATTATTTTTACTTTACAGGCCTTATTAAGTCAGAATGATCAATACATTGTTTTGATCGTGGGCCCTCAGAATATGAAAGAAGAAGTCATGATCATTAATTATGAAAAATAACTGAAATGACTGAGATTATAAAAGCAAATGCATCCATTTTCAAATGTTGGGTTGTAGAGTGCTGTAAAACGTTGTTGTAAAATATTGGCTCAAAATAAATGATAAATGTTTTTTTTTAAAAACTCATCGACTTTAAGTGACGTCTGCTGCATCCCTTTCAGATATTGATGAATGCACCAAATACACAACCCTCTGCTCTCAGAACTGCACCAACACAGATGGAGGCTACATTTGTGCATGTCTCCCTGGCTACCAGCTTGCTGAGGATGGGGTCACCTGTGAGGGTATGAGCCCATTATATATTTTTTTATTGTTTAGTCAGTTTAGGGAGAAAACAGATTGTGCACTTTTTAACTGGATGATTACAACTGCACTATATTCTATAAGTTATTCAGGAAGGAGACGCACTGATATGAGCCAAATTTCTGTCCCTTTTTTTTTTCAAAATTAAACTCCTTGCCGAGATCAAATTTAGTGTTAAAAGTATCCAACAGTAGTATAGAGTTGCAAGGAGAAAAGCACCAGTAAGATTACCCATAAGAGGCCTCTTTAATCAAAAGTGTTGTCCTTACATAAAATTTAAAAAATAATTATTAAGATTATGTAAATAAATATTTCTTTTAAACATACAGTAGCAGGGAGCCATTTCTATTATATTGAACACCTACTTTGTGTAGTGTGAATCATGAAACTATATATTGCAAATTTGAGAAGTATTTTTTATGTATCAAAACTAACTAAAATTTTTCACCTTTTCCTTTACAAATTTGAAGAAAACATGAAGCAGTTTTGTAAATTTCCTTCCCAGACCTCAATGAGTGTTTGCAGGATGAGTCTCCGTGTGAACAGATTTGTACAAACACAATTGGCTCATTCATCTGCAGCTGTGATGGGATTGGGTTTAAGTTGTCACGTGACCAGACCACATGTATAGGTCAGTGCAGAACTGGAACATTTTTTTTAGTTCCAGACAAAATCAAATTCTAGTTATTTTAATAATTTTTTTTTTTATTCTTGTGGCCTACCTTCCATTTTTGACTGATCGGACATTATATTAAATTCTTCTTTTGGCAGTGAATTTTTTAAACAAGAAATGAATAGGCCTAGGTGATGAGTGCAATAACCACTTTAAACAAGTTATATAAGTCATTTTTACAATTTAAATCCTAATTGTTATTGATAACTGAAAGAAACCAAAGCCCAGCCAGCATGATGGAGAAAACTCCAGAGAATTAAATGCTATTAATATACATACACTTTAAGTATGAACAAGTTTTCCAGTCCCAAGAGGGACTTTGTCCATCTTAATTATATTTTTTAAAAGAGTTTTTTCTCCAAAAACATTCTCTTGAAAAACAGTTTATAATCTAAATTTTTATGGATACATCCAATTTTTCCCTTATAATTGACATATTTTGCTTTTTTCTTTTACTAACAAAGCTGATTTCATTTGGAGAACTAAAGTAGTGAGAGTTTAGCTAGTGACAAAATAAGTATATACGTAAGTTAACGTAGCCATGTAAAATGTAAAACAAAAAAATATATATATTTTTTTTATTAGATATCAATGAATGTATGGAAGGAGACAACCCATGTCCAAATATTTGTATCAACACCATTGGTTCCTTTCTCTGTGACTGTGATCGGCCTGGCTACATCTTGGCTAGTGATGCATCTGGCTGTGAAGGTAATGATCCAATATGGGAAAAAATATGTTTGATGAATTGAAGCTCACACAAAAATCCGTCATTATGGTGGCAATAATTGCATAATACTTGTTATTAAATTTGATAAAAGTCCGTTCCTTAAATCCTGTAATTAACATTATTCCAGATTTAAGTTTTTGTTTGTTTAAGAGAAGTGAGAGAAGTGAACAGAGAAATTTCAGAGAAAATATTTTTTTAAAATATCCTTCTTCTTCTTCTATATATTAAAGGCCCTCGATCAATTTATTTGTATTGGTCTCTATCTCTTTCTCCTATCATTATTGAGAATTTACAAATAGGCCTATATAGCAATTGCTACTTGTTGTTAGCTGCCATAACAATAAATTAACCACTTATATTAAAGTAAAGCGTTGGATGACTTGCAACAAACTGAAGCTAAATGATGATAAAACGGAAATCCTTCTCATCCACTCTCAAAACAAACCTCTCCCTCCATCTGCTCCTTCTTCTATATCTATCGGCAACTCTGACATCACACTCTCTTCCTCTGCCAGAAACCTTGGAGTCACGCTTACAGACACACTCTCCATGGACAAACATGTCACGAATATATGCAGATCAGCATACAACGAAATTAGAAAAATCAGCACCATTAGACACCTCCTCTCCTTTGATGCCACAAAAACTCTCGTCTCTTCACTCATTCTTTCAAAATTTGACTACTGTAACACTCTTCTCGCAGACATTCCTCAACACCACATAGACAAACTTCAGAAGGCACAGAACTCAGCACGCAGACTCATTTTTAAATCAAGGAAACATGACCACATTCAACCACACATGCGGCAACTCCACTGGCTTCCAATATCCTCTCGCATCAAGTACAAGTCTGCCAATCTATGCTTCAACTCGTTCACTGACCCTAACTTTCCTGTCTATCTCTCCGAACTGTTGCTTCCTTACATCCCCACAAGACAACTACGTTCTTCCATTGACAGTAGAACCCTCTCAATCCCAAGAACTAAAACTAAGACCATCGGTGAACGCTCCTTCTACTTCCATGCGCCCACGTTCTGGAACCAGCTCCCCTTCCACATCCGTCATTGTGAAACCTCGTCCACTTTCAAAAAGTCCCTTAAAACCCATCTGTTTAGGTCCGCCTATGACCTGTGATGCACCCTCCTTGCCCTGCCTCATTTTCTGTCTCGGGTTGATCCTGTAGTATAGGCTAAAACGTGCCAAAGTGTACTCGTTTTTATAGCCATTTTAATGTTAAAGCTACTGTTTCTATAGTCATTTCTCACATTGTAGTTACTATTCTAGTGTCTCTAGTTTTTCCTTTTTATTTTACTTTAGCAGTTTAAATAGCTTACATGTTTTTAATAATTGTAAAGCGCTTAGAGCTGTAAGGTAAGCGCTATATAAAAATACCTAAGTAAATAAATAAAATATTACCAGATATCAACGAATGCAGCTCCAGCCCTTGTCCTCATGCATGTATCAATACACCTGGAAGCTACAAGTGTGTTTGCCCAGCTGGATTTTCTGACCCACCAGAAAATAATCAAACAGTGTGCAATGGTAGGAATATTATATAATTTATTTTTGTTCCGTAGCCTTTAGCTCCAAATAAAATTTCTGCACACTCAAATGACTGCAGTGATGTAGGCCTACTCTCAATCGTCACAATTTTAAATTGTCACGAGGCAAGCAGTAATAAATTTTACTAGTTATACTAACTCAATCATCAATGCTTGTATGTCCCTCTTTGAATTTTTAAGAAGGAGGCCATTTCCTACAGTTTGGTATTGGTTATCTCTCTCTTTTCCATTTCATTTATTCATGGCAATAGAAATTATTTTTTTTTTATTCCTGAAATTATCACTATGCTTTCAATAGTCAATGATCTCATTAATTTTTTTTTTTTTAAATAAAAAAAAACAAACAAATCTCTCCAAATGAAGAATGTCCCCATGGCACATATCGTAGCAAAGAAGACACAAGCTGCAGACGCTGTCCTCCTAGGACAAATACAACATCTACTGGCAGCCGATCAATCAAAGCTTGCCTTTGTGTCAGCGGATACCAGTCTGACCCACTTGGATCTGGATTATGTCTTGGTAAGACCTTTTATTAAACGACCAGAGTCAAAAATGAATTTAGACAATAGGGGGCCTACTTTTTATAGACATCTTGTTGGCTTATCTATAAAATAAAATTTATAAATTTAGCTCTACGTCATAACACAGAGTTACACAAATACTGTGTGGCTAAAAATGTTGTTAACTCAAGCCTACGACAAAAATTACACACTAGCTATGAATAATCAGCAGTCTCCACTATAGATCATAATAGATCATCTCTCACATAAGTCTATTTTTTTTTTGCGCTCCAGGTCTATAAGTTAAACTGCTTGTTATTTTGTCTTCAGACATCAATGAATGTAGCATTGGGGCCCTACAGTGTGAACATTCGTGTGTTAACACAGAGGGCAGTGCCCACTGCACTTGTAAACCAGGATTTTTACTTGACCCCAATGGTGTGACTTGTAAAGGTAAATGATTTCTCTACAACTTTTGCTAGGTAAAGCTCTGATCATTTACATTTACTTTTGTGAAATGTGAAACTTTTTTTTCGTTTACCTTATGTGCAAATTAGTCTAACATACAGTTTAGAAATTAAAGATTAAATAACGAGGACAATTTTTATCCTACATTATTTATTTTAAAGAATGCATTATTTAATATTTTCTATCATAATTTTTTTGTTACAAATGTGAACAGAACTAATATGTGAAACATAGCCGACTATTTTGACTAAGACTTACACTTGTAAATGTTTCTAACTTTTCAAAATTGAAACCTCTTTACACCAGTGTCAAGCATTTTCTAGCTTGTAGAACTAGAGGTTTCAGAAAATTAGGGGGGGGGAGGGGTGTAAGGAAAGGGGCTAAAAGTTTAGTAAGCATCTCTGGTATTTGAGATAAGTTATGAAGATGAGAATATATAAATGTTATTTTGGATATAAATCGGCAGAATTACTTGCCTCACTAACTCCTTTATTCTGTACCAGCCATGGTTGATAAACATTTACTTCTCCAGATACCAACGAATGTGCTAAACACAATGGTGGGTGTGAGCACAAATGTGTTAACACACCAGGCTCATTCTATTGTGAGTGCAGGGGGAAAAACTATAAATTAGCTGAAAATGGTCTCTCGTGTGAAGGTAAGAAAATCACAGCAATGCGAGTCACAGAAGGTAACACATTTATTTTCAGTTGAATTATTTTGTATTTTGTCATAATGATTGCATGCTCTTACAGAGGTAATAAACTCATTAAAGCCCAGTTAGGAAAAATCATTTGGAAGTTTAAAAAAAGCTGTTACATTTCTATTGCTATTGAAAGCATACATGCAGCCTAAACAATAACTTTTCATGTTATGAGAATCTCTTAATTTTGAATATCTCTACTTTGTGTATTCTTTGAGTTTTTAAAAAAAATATGTATTTATTTATTGATTATTTTAGTTTTATAAGATATTCTTATTTTAGACTTATGTAAAATAGATTTAAGTCTTTGTTTTTTTTTTAAAAATTAGTTATCATTTTAGGTACTTAACAGTAAAAATATATTTAAAATATCAAAGAGAAGAAAAACACTAGTAGAGAATTAATGTTTGTAGCATTTAATTGGTGAATGCTTGAAATGTCTAGAGCAATTACACGTTTATTATCTATCTTTTCCACAGATGTCAATGAATGTAACTTGCCTAATCATGGCTGTGAATACAGATGTATCAATTCTCTGAATGGCGCAAAGTGTACTTGTCCACCTGGTCATGAATTACTAGAGGATGGTCAAAAATGCAAAGGTTTTAAATTTTTTTTAATATTATTTTTTTCTTCATGTATTATATTAGAAAATGTTTTCTTGCGTTACATTCATCCCTAAATTTCATATTTTAGTTTTATAAATATCTGGACTTCACTTATATGTCACAATAGTGTTTGTAATCATCCCTAGGACTAGTTTAAGGATACAGACATGGCAGAGCTTTAAAATTCATTTTTTCTTTCTCCTGTGGTCCTTAAAATTCTGTCATGTAGAAATTTAAGTTTAAAAACAAAATATCTATTGCAAATGTATCATATGAATTCAAACAAAGAGAAGAAGAACTATAGTAGAGAATTAATGTTTGTAGCATTTAATTGGTGAATTCTTGAAATGTCTGGAGTAATTAATTACAAGTTTATTATCTATTATGCTTTTAAAAAATGATGAAAAAAAAATGTTAATATTGATTAAAATGAAAAAAAATATTTAATCCAAAATAAGCCAACTATTAACAGGCGAAGATAAACACTGATGGTTTAGTCACTTGACCCTTCTCAGTAGCTGTACATGCTTAACCACTTTCTTTTTCCTTAATAAAGTTTTCTTTCCCAATGTTTGTATCGAATTTAGTATACATTCTTTCATTTAACAAGATATTGATGAGTGCCGTTCTCGAAACGGAGGATGCACAGACACTTGTGTCAACACACCAGGCTCATACAAATGTGAGTGTAAGATACCTGGCTTTAAGCTCTACACAGACAACAAGCAGTGTGTGGACAGAAACGAGTGTGAGGAGGACAAGCAGGCCTGTGAGGACACGTGTGTGAACACACCTGGGTCTTTCAAATGTCACTGTAGACAAAATGGCTTTTCACTGGCCAGTGACAAGAGAAACTGTGAGGGTTAGTGCAAATATCTTCTTTTTCAAATTATACTATTTGGGAGAATATGGGGTATTTCATAGACTACTCCTACTTTCTGTTACTGTGCTTCTTTAGATTTTACTCTACTTTCCTTGGTTTTTTTTTCTTATTAATTCAACCTGACAGCAATCCTCCCCGTAATTCTCTAAATCATAGATATTGAAGTTTTAACCTGGGTCTTTCAAATGTCACTGTAGACAAAATGGCTTTGCCCTGGCCAGTGACAAGAGAAACTGTGAGGGTTAGTGCAAATATCTTCTTTTTCAAATTATACTATTTGGGAGAATATGGGGTATTTCATAGACTACTCCTACTTTCTGTTACTGTGCTTCTTTAGATTTTACTCTACTTTCCTTGGTTTTTTTCCTTATTAGTTCAACCTGACAGCAATCCTCCCCGTAATTCTCTAAATCATAGATATTGAAGTTTTAACTTACAGTACTTATAATAATATATTTTCATGGTCATTATTTTTATTTAAAAAATTAATTTTTTAATCATTAAACTAATAAAAAGGAGACAAGTGAATGATGGGGTGCTTAAAAGCGTTGTTTCCCGGTGGTTAGTAACAGTCTTTTAAAATTCAAAATCATATCCCATTATTATATACTTGCAAATATGACTCAATGTTACCTGGACAATAATGAAAGGCATTTTTCAAAATTTTCTACCTGCTATTGCGAAGTCTCAACACTTAACAAGCCATTTATTATGTATATATTAATATTTGAAAGAGGTTTTGATAATTTGTATACTTGTAAAAACAACAAAATAATGACAATATTCCAAACATTAAAATGTATATTTAATTAAATAATTAAAATGTATATTTAATTAAATAGTTAATCACAAGAATATCTTATTTTAAAAAGTTTGAGAAGATTATATATATTTAATTTTTTTTTAAACACTATACCTTATTTTTTCAAAATATTTCCAGACATTGATGAATGTGCCAAAGGTAAAATTTGCCAGCAGGTTTGCATCAACCTGCCTGGTTCATTCCGCTGTGACTGCGAGGCAGGCTACTTTAAACAGGGTCACCACTGCACCGCCTGTGCACCAGGCACCTACAGAGGAAAGAAAGACTCTGTGATCAGCTGTCAGCCTTGTCCGAGTGGTATGACCACCACAGGGAAAGCAACCGACTCCATCCTGGGATGCTTCTGCCCTGCTGGTTACCATGGTAACCCAGAAACCCAAGACAAATGTGAGGACATGAATGAATGTATCAAGAACAATGGCGGATGTCAGCACATTTGCAACAATACAAATGGCTCTTTCTTTTGCTCTTGTTCAGAGGGGTATATCTTACAGAGAGACAAAAGGAAATGCGCGCCCACCAGATGCCCCATTCTGAATCCACCCAAATTTTCCAAATTTATCGGCAAAGGTTGTCTCAAGATGGGCAAAGGTCTGCATGCAGACCCAGGAACAGAATGCATGTACCAGTGCAGGAAGTATATGATGCTTCATGGCCCAGAGAAGCGGACATGCTTGGAAAACTTTACCTGGTCTGGCAAAGATCCTGAATGTCTAGGTAAGCAGGACAAACAAATGAGTAATCTTCTAACACTTTTTAAGCCATTTCAAACCCTAACTCTTATTTAAATGATGCTAGATTGTTTGTTTTTTTTGCTACTTTAACTTTAAATTATTTTAAACTCCAATTGTTTCATTTGTTGTTGTTTTTTAAATTTTTAAAACAATTTCATAGACCGATGCATTAAGAAAAATTTCACCAATGTTTGTGCAGTGGTAAAATATAATTTATATATAACAAAAAATTAAATATCTCTTTCATCATGCCATATTTTTCTTTTTAATTTTGGTTCTTTTTCAAATCTTATAACACTCACATTATTTTTCAAACGGAATTTTACAAAACTCTCACAAATAGCTTGAAATTTATCAGTACATCAATATTATTTGAAAATACATTTATTTTGTTTGTTTATTTTTTTTTAATAGAATCTCAAAAGCCATTCAGTAAATTGAATATTCAAGTCCAAGCAAAATATATTTTTTATAAAACAACTTTTTAAATTTGTCCATTACCGTATAGCACGCCCGTGTGAACGCCTACCTGTACCTGAAAACGGTTACCTGTACCCTCCCCTGTGTATGCTACCCAGAGTTCCATTTCGTACAAGGTGCATCTACAAGTGCAACAGGGACTATGAAAGTGTCGGAAAACCAGGGGCCAAGTGCAAGGCCAACAACAAGTGGAGTGGCAAGGGCCAGCACCATTGTGTTGCCAAGAGGAGGAAGAGAAATGGATGACCCGATCCATGATAACCAACTAGCTGGAAGGAGCCTGTTTTGTTGATGCTGCAATGGATATGTAAACATATTCAGTTCTTATGAACTCTCTGCCCCCATAAATGCAGAAATAGCATTGATTTGTTTCCAACATGGGAATGTAAACTTACTTAACTTTTCTCTCATTGTATACCATTCATATTTTTATTTTCATATTTTTATTATTTTCATATTTATGCAAATATTCCAAAATAAATGTTTTGTTTAAAAAAAAAGGGAAATAATAGTTATGTTAGTTTGTTGTAGGGTAAGTTTCCATAACAAATGAGGACAACCCTATTTTAGCCCATACGTCTTTTTGGCCAATCAATCTACTGCTGCTGAATACCAATGTTCATTTAAAACAATCATTTTGTAGGTTAAAAAATGTATTAAATGTTCTCTAAAATTGGGGGAAGAATGTAAGAGCAGTTCATGGAACTACAATCGAAATAAGAGTGATTTAGACAAGTAAAACTTATCCAAAAAAAATAATTACTAATTTCGACACTGAATTCTTAGCCACGTAATTAGTAAAAGTATTTGACATAGACATTCACAAATCATTTTTAACCAAGATCCTTTACAAAAAAATATTATTTTGAATTTCATTGTAAATGTTCTATCTTTTTTTTGCCTTGCCCAATTTTAAAGCTATGGTGTCTTTCACATATAGTTTGCAATGCTTTCACAGTAGGCCAATAACCTTTTCATTTTCTTTAGTTTTTTGTTAAATTTGTTTGCTAAATTTTAAAAAAAAAAAGGACATGGTTTTAAACAGAGTGTGAAAACTTTTAAATAGCAATGAGGGGTTTGAAATAAGTGGGTCTTTAATTTTTCACAAGCATAACATGATTTCTGATTTAAGTGTAATTTGAATTTATTCAGATGTTGCACTTTCTACGCATAGGCTCAAACACGGTGATAATGAAGTAATATTTTCATGAGTTTTTGCTGCCGCAAATAAAGTAATGAACAGCATACAGAAAATATTTGTATAGTTTAAAACAAAACAGATCTCTGACACAAAATCATTTATTGACATTTAAAGCAACACTGTATAAGATAAAGACAATATTGTAAAGAAGTCATTTAGTAGAAGTCATTCTATTAATTATCTCCCCTCCTTGATGAACCCAACTTGAAAAAAGTCTGGACATTTTTTTTTCAAAATCATATTAGGGCCAAAGAGCACATGCCCAATTGGCCACTGGATTATGATAATGATGATGAATTAGTATTTATTGAAGTGAAGGGTGAGGACTAGCTGGAACTAGTACATTTAATCAAATTAATATGATTATTTACATGGCCACACTGAACATCATTGCTTAGTTTATCTATTTATGTTAAAGTTTATGGAGGAATAGATGATATCTTGTTATATTTAAATACATGGAGGATGTTTCATTGATTAAAAAAAAATCATACCTGATAAGATGTTTTGCAGATAAAATTAAAGAAAAATTCTTAAGAATATGGTTCTTAAGAATAAATAGAAAGTGGGGGTATACAAAAGTGAAAACAGCTGACTCCCTAATAGTTTATATTAATTTCAGTGTAGGAGTTTCTGTCCTCAGACAAAAAAAAAATGTTCTTAAAATATTTTTTTTTCAAAAAAGATGTTTCTAATATGGTAACAGAAAATAATATATTAATTATAGCTGACTATTGGTTCATTAAGACATATGACACATTGATCTAACTCAAACATTATCTTTATTTGGATTAATTAAAATAACAGAAAATATAAAGATAATTTTTTTTTTTTTATTGAAATGTACTAAAACTTTAACTTGGTACAACCAGATGTTTAAATGACTAAAAGAAGTGGAAGTTAACCAATTTAAATAAGTTGTAATTGTTTTTCAAAAATAGCCAGTTTTTTGTTTTTGTTGTTGCTCTTGTTCTTTGACACAATGTTATAATTTATGACTAGTGTCTTTCATAATAAAATAAAAGTGTTTTTCATAGTTTAAAAAAATGGAGGTTAGCTAGTAAAAGAGACCAAGAATCAAATTGAACAGAGCAATTTTGCAACACAAATAACCTTACTATATTTTATTTTATAACTTCTACATTTTTCTACTACAACATTCAACACAAGAAATATGAATGTGATGAACTGGGACAATTTCTGTGTTTGTATCTGACCACTAAGTCACTCTGACACTAATCCTCCTGCAAAATGATTCAGACAAACAGTGTCAGAGAAGGACGTCGCATTATTTAGTCAACCTGCCTCTTTGATCAAACGTGTATTATTTATGTTCCAGGCAAATGCTTGTTGTTGACCATGGTCTCAGACCTGATGAAAAGCTGGCATCCAAAACACAACAATCACAATCAATGCTCCCTCGATGGAATGTTTACATGCAAGTCATTAACACCGAAGATAGATGATTGATACATTCCATCAACACTAAAAGTCTTTGATGCCTGGATTGAAGTTGGTTATGGTAAAGGTCAAGCAGACATATTGGTTCAGATAATATCCATAATTTCATCTTACTGGCACTGGTTGGACAAATTTAACAGGAGTTTTCCTTATATCAAAAAAAGTTTTACAATAATAGCTAGGTCTATATTTATATTTATTAAGTTATAAACGTATGTTTAGAGAGTATAGCCTACACACTGACTTGATCAAAATTACCTCAACATCCAAGAAGAAATAAAAAGCACTTAAAATCAAGAATATGTAAGTAGAAAATTGAAACTTTAAAAATTAATGACCATTAAATCAGTTGAATCCCATTTTTACACGTCACACGTAAAAGTACATTTCAGTTCAAAATCAAGAAATATTTTTCGCTCTTCTCCATTTCTATAATGAACATTTTTTTTCTCCACAAAACGACAATATTTTTCATTAAGAAACGCTACAACCTTCAAAAATAGTGCTAAACCATTAGAACTTATTTGTATACAATGTAACTTACATTTTGGCAATGCATATGTAATTTCTATCTTAAAACAAAAAGAAAATAAATTTAATATACTATGTTTTGAAAATAAAAAATCGTCACTGTTACGTGCCTAAAATCGCCAGACAGAAAAGACACTTCGAGGCTGCCCTGGCATCCGCTGGCATCCGTTAGGATAGCCGCATCGCTTCACCAACCGTTGCACACATGCCAGTACATGGATGCAGCAACGTACCCAGCAAGAACCAGACACGGTTTAAAAAAAAAAAAAAAGATGGGGGCATTTCAGACGGATCCAGACGCTAGTGATTTCTCACCAAAATTTAAAGTCTTTTTTTTTTTTTTAATGTACTTGAGAGCCGCATGCAAGCCATGAGATGGGGGACGTCTGCTCTAATTTATTGATCAATCCATTTACACAATAATTAACATCTTTAATTCATGCGTTACCCAGAGTAAACGACCACAGAGCTACGCATTTAATAAGAATGAGCCCATTACTTAACAGTTATGTGAGATGATGATACTGATTTAATTACTTAAGCTTAACATCATGTTATCTTATCCGTTGCCGCTTGTGGTTCGCACACGACTTTATTTGTCTATTAGCAAGTGCCTCTTGGGTAGGGTTGCAGCACAATCTAATGGTGAACTTATTTCATCAAATATCAACGTAAACATTGAAAAATGAGCGACTATCGCAAACATGAAATATGATCGATGAATAATAGATTTGAAACAAGGCAACATTCAGAAATATCATCACGTTCCGTGTGTATTTAAGCACCAAGAACAGCTGCTACAGGCCAATAGAATAATCATGAAATTGCTCTCAGACTAAGCATACACCTTATGTTACATAGAGATAATAGGTTGCATCATGAATTGAACTTTTGAATCAGATAAGTTAGTAAAATAAAATGGTTAAAATGTCTAGATCTTAAAATATCTCCATGACCATGGACAAGAATTCAGGGGGGCTGCTCATACTACGCTCTAAGACAGTGGTTCTCAACCTTCCTAAAGCCTCGACCCTTTATTACAATTCTTCATGTTGTAGCGACCACCGACCATAAAATTATTTTCGTTGCTACTTCATAATTGTAGAGTATATGTGATTTCCGATTGTCTTAGGCGATTAAGTGACACTTAAAAAAAATATTTTTCTTTAACGTTCCTAACTCTTCCAGATAAAATATATTTAGCTGTTGTCAATCAATGAGTTTGAATGAGTTTGCAAGAACTGCAGAATTAGTTAGTAGGTATTCCCATGGGCGCCCCCAGAAAACTTTCTAGGGGGGGGGGCAAAAAAAATCGATTAATTTTCCAGGGGGGGGGCAAAAAATTTTTAGTAATGTTTTAATGTAGTTTTAATTTACTGTAGCGTATTTGTATGGTGAACGAACGGACAGGACAACAGCTTAGTTTCTTTCTCTTTATTTTCTCTTTACTTTAATACATTTTTTGTCTATTTTTGTGTAAAAAAAATATTATCCAATCAATCCAAGGGGCAAGTGCCACCCTTGCCCCCCCCTGCGGACGCCCATGGGTGTTCCTTAAAAGTTTTTTTTTAAAAATAATTAAATAGTGTCTATTTGGAATACTACTATCAACACTAGCATTATGATTAGACACTACTCGTATTTATTACAACAAAGACAAGGGCATCACTCAAATCCCCCGTTACAGTGGAAAATAAGGTTTTAAGTTAAAAGGTTTGTCAAGACGGGCGAACTTTATTGTTCTTCGTTAAATTAAATAGAGGAATCTGTATTACTACATCTAGCCTAGCATAATTAACTGAAGAATTATGTCGAGTTAATTACATCTAATCTAAATTGCTATGAATCGCAATTCGTTCTCTGTCCATTTTTAATAACATTGTTATTGACCAGTGTTAAAAAAATAATAAAAGAATTTGAGGAAAAAAAAATAATTTTTTAATTTAAAATTGCACTTATCACAAGCTATTTTCTTTTAAAAGATGTGATACGCCCAATTACGAATAATGTAAACATGGTCAAAGTGCGCGCGGCAAAGGGGAGACTATTCTCTTTTTTTTTTTATTCATTCATTTTATCAAACATTGATAAAAATTAAGAAGAACATAAGAACAAATTATATTTTGTTTATTTTACTTTTACTTTTTTTGAGTGCAAAGTTTTTTAAAATTTTATTATTATTATTTTTTTGGTTTTGGTTGGGGGGGGGGGGACTTTTGGGGGACAGTTTTGTTATCTCACAGGTTGGCACGTATGAGATAGCAATAAAAAAGATTTTTTAAATCCAATTTTTTATAATAATTTTTTTTTTTTTTTTTTTTTTTTTTTCTTTTTTTGGGGTGTATGGTTTTTTGTATTTTTTTTTTTGTTTTTTTTTTGTTTTGGGTGGGGGGGGGGAGACTTTTGAGGGACAGTTTTGTTATCTCACAGGTTGGCACGTATGAGATAGCAATAACAAAGATTTTTTAAATCCAATTATGTATAATAATTTACGAAGAAATAACATTATTCATTTGCGAAACATTAAAATGATTTTTTAAAATCTAATATTTTGGTAATTTTATACCTTCAATTTATAATAAAAGTTGTATTTTTTTTTAAACGGTTTATAAAAAAATAAAGGATTTGCCTTGGAAATCCCAAATGATTTTGGTATTTTCGCCGTCAACATTTCAAGGTCATGTTATTTTTGAATCAAGATTTAAAATCAATTAAATAAAATCAATTACATGAAATCAATTAAATGAAATTAAAGCACTTCAAAATGTGGCGTACAAATACATTTTCAGGTTTAAAACCTCACACCATCATGTCTCATATAAGGGATGATTATAAAATAAAATTAGATTTTACCTAAATCAAATATTTGTCATAGATTTTCTACATATTCAAATCTTATTAAATTTTTTTTTTTCTTGAATGGTATATATAAAATTGTTCGATTTGGTTTATTCCTTAAAATTGTAAAATTCTAGAAAGATAAAAAAAAATATTGAAAGTTGGTCATTATTTTCACCCGTGGAGGATCTTTTAAAAAATCTTCAGATGCAACTAACCAAGGCACTCCAAAACTGGCAGAAGATGAATGGCTTGAGAATAGTAGTTTTTGTTTCTTGAATGACCCTCTTCTCTCTAATATCTGCTTATGGTGTCTGCTTCTAAGTTTAAACATATGTCGCACATCATGCTCGTAAGTAGCGGCTATTCACTAGGATAAAAAATAGAAAATCATAGATGTTAAATGTCTTTTCTTCTGGTATTGTTTAGTGTTGGTCTGGGGGTATTGTGTAGTGCTGGTCTTGGTCTTGTGTAGTGTTGACTTGGGTATTGTATAGCGTTGGTCTTGAGTGTTGTTTAGTGTTGGACTCGGGTGTTGAGTAGTGCTGGACTGGAGTATTGTATAGTATTGGTCTTTGGTATTGTGTAGTGTTGGACTGGGATATTTTGTAGTGTTTGACTAGGGTATTGTGTAGTGGTGGTCTTTGATATTGTGCAGTTTTGGTCTCGGGTATTGTGCTGTGGTGGTCTTGGGTATGGTATAATGTCGGACTTGGGTATTGTGCAGTGGTGGTCTTGGGTACTATGCAGTGGTGGTCTTGGGTATTTTGTAATTGTAGTCTTGGGTATAGCTGAGCTAACGACAGAACATCAACATCGATTCTGATCTGATGAATTCGCTTAAAAGACATTGAGAGGATACTCTTAGCCACTGGTGTGTTCATTCGACTAGAAAGCAAACAAAAAAATAAATAAAAACAAGTATGAATATCAAGCGGCTCTTTAAAAAAAATAAAATAATTAGGCTCATAATAATTCTAAAAACTGGTTTGCTGTTAGTTGGATTAAATTTTGATAATCAAGACCGCCATGAACTTTCTGTAGCTTCTACAAAGCTGCCACGTAGAGTTTCGAACAAAGGAAAGACGATGTTCTGTGTACAGTAAAAAAAAAAATTATTTAATATAAACAAAATTTGTATAACATTTTTTTAATTTAAAAAAAAGGGGGGGGGGGGGGGGCACTTTTGTAAAGCGTGTCGGTCAGGTCTGGTTTCAGCTGGTCTTGTNTACAAAGCTGCCACGTAGAGTTTCGAACAAAGGAAAGACGATGTTCTGTGTACAGTAAAAAAAAAAATTATTTAATATAAACAAAATTTGTATAACATTTTTTTAATTTAAAAAAAAGGGTGGGGGGGGGGAGGGCACTTTTGTAAAGCGTGTCGGTCAGGTCTGGTTTCAGCTGGTCTTGTCTGAGCCCGATAAAATTGTTGCGGGGTCTTTCCGGTTCGAACTGGTAAAGTCTGGTTTTTTGTTGTTGTTTTTTTTGGATCGTCACGTCTGTTTATGCCATGTCCGTTTTTAAAGATCATGTTTTTAAAGATCATATTTTTAAAGCTCATGTTTTTAAAGATCATGTTTTTAAAGATCATGTTTTTAAAGATCATGTTTTTAAAGATCATGTTTTTAAAATCATGCTTTTTTAAGGTCATGTTTTAAAGGTCATGTTTATACAGTCCACGCTGTTCGGGGAAACGGCCAAGTCCATTATATGACCTTTACCTTGATAGAACATATCCCTCTCCATGCTGCATAGGCGTGTCTGAAAGAGAAACATTTGTGGGTTCATCATAAACGCCGTATAATAACACATTATTGTCCAAAAATAGCCCCTAATACATGCTGCACTGACAGCATTTTTTCTTTTGTTTTAAACTCACTGATTTTCTTTGAATTTTAAGACACATTTCGGTGTAAGTAGTGTTTTAATTTCAATTTGGGACGCATTTTAAAAAAATGAAAAGAAAATCTCATCTAGTAAATATATATTTTATTCTTTAATTATAGATCTAAAATCAAGTTAGACCATGTCATAAGCTTATGTCAGACTGTCGTATAACTGATTAAATCATTTCAGGCAATGTAATATGATCTTAATAGATCATATTACATTGCCTGAAATGTGTCATATGACCTATTCAGATTATTATGTCAGACTATGTCATATGGCCTATCCAGATTATTTCAGACTGTGTCATATGACCTGTTAAGATAAGCCAGTCTGTGTCATATGACCTGTTAAGATCATGTCAGACTGTGTCATATGACCTGTTAAGATCATGTCAGACTGTGTCATATGACCTGTTAAGATCATGTCAGACTGTGTCATATGACCTGTTAAGATCATGTCAGACTGTGTCATATGACCTGTTAAGATCATGTCAGACTGTGTCATATGAACTGTTAAGATCATCTCAGACTGTGTCATATAGCTGATCAGATCAAATGAGACCATGTCATGTGACTGATCGAATCGAGTGATTTGGTGGTTAGGCAGATGCCTGATCAAATCAGAGACTAAGTCGCCTAACTGACCAGCGCGGGTAAGACTGTGCGATGCGACTGGTCAAGGTGATACCCACCCGTTTGTGTGTGTTGATGTTAGTTCTGACCACTCGGTGGTTGAGCGGCATGAGAGGCCTTGAGTTGCTCTCCAGCGACATCCCTGGTTCGTTGTCCCTCCCTTTGTACAAGACCCGCAGGGCCGACAGCTGTCAAAACAACACAATGGAAACCGACATATGTGACATAGATGAAGAGAGTCTACAAAATAACTAATTACTATAGCCTTCATCATTTTTTAATACTACTATCAACAAATGACTAGCAATATGAGTAGACACTGTAAACAATCATTCTTCCCACGCGCAATCATCGCTTGGAACCACCTGGACAAAGCCGCCGTAGACTCGACGTCAATCGAGAGTTTCAAGGCTGCCCTGGCATCATCCGCCAGGAGCCGTTAGGATAGCCGCATCGCTTCCCCAAACGTTGCGCATATGCCAGTACGTTGATTCAGCAGAGCGTACCTATCAGAACGATGTCACTGCCCACGATTTCCTTTCAAAGGTTTAAGTACATTTTCGACAAAACGACTTTAAAACGACAATCTTCTGGTTTAATGCAAAAGAAACCCATAATATGTATACGGGTCCCCGAGATGGAGTGAATATTGTTGTGGGCGTATTCTCGAAGTTCATGGGGAAAAAGGAATGGGATATTATTTGAACATTAGATGAAGAATTGCTGCATTATATTTTGTTATAGGAATGAGCACACAATAATGCTAGAAAGCGCTGAATGGTGGCTCTGCCAAAGTTTGAAGGATGAAAACGCTATAATTTATCAATTTGCGTTTCAAATTTGAAGAGGAATAACATGTATACGTGAAGGCTAAAAAAAAATGGTGTGGGAAAAAGATGAGCCCGGAATTTAGAGTTCGTAAGGGACGAATTTGTTTACGTGCTGTTCCTGTCGGAGACTTAGTTGAGTTCAACAGGGGATGATGCCAAGTGTGCTGACCTCACGCCACCGGGTTTCGATATTAAGTCCTTTCCGCGTGCTACGCGAGGTGGCGGCCTCGCTGTCATTTATCGTAGCCACCTCCCAGTGACTTTCACCTCCACATTCCCATTCCAGCACACCTCTCTAGAACTTGTTCAGTTCACCCTCAACACGCCCCACACTGTCAACATGTTATGCTTGTACCGCACTCCGCCCAGTAAGAAGAACAAGCTCCTAAACTCCACCTTCCTCTCTGAGCTCCCTGACCTACTTGACTACTGCAACCTGCTCCGTGGAACAAGTGTGATCGTGGGCGACCTTAACGTTCACTATGACGTCCCTACTGATCCCTTTACTAGCAAGGTACTAGACATCCTCACAAGGTTTAGTCTTGTCCAGGGCATTAAGCAGCCCACCTACTATCGCAGCGGCCACATCATCGACTGGGTGGTGTACCGTGATGACGACAACTTGGTGGACAGCTGTACTGTGAGTCATATGCTCTCCTCTGACCATGCAGCGGTGCTCACTACACTCAACGTAGTTCCCCCAAAGAACCCACCTGTCTACAGGACCGTGCGTGACATAAACGCTATAGACAGAGCAGCCTTCAAAGCCGGCATTAAGACAATGCTTCAAGGGCTAGGTGCTGAGCTCAGCGCTCAGCATCTGGACGATGGCCTCCGAGCACTTTTGGACGAGCACGCCCCTCCCATGGCGCGACGTGTCCCGACTGGTCGCTCGTCGCCATGGTATGCAGGCGTTAGTGACCAACTCCGTCTGGCAAAACTCGTGCGAAGACGCGCTGAAAGACGCTGGGTAAAGACTGGACTGAGTGTCGACAGACAGATCTTTTGGACAGCGAAAGATGCGGTGGCAGAGATTGTACAGAGGGCAAAGGATGACTACTGGAGCTCAAAGGTCGAATCCTGTGCATCAACCAAGGCGTTGTTCAGCGCTAGTAACCGTCTCCTGGGCAACAGCAAGAATTTCACCCTCCCTACCGACATTGCACCAGAGCAACTCCCTGACGCCTTTGCGGACTTTTTCATCACCAGGGTGCAAATGATCAGGGAGGAGCTAGACAGCGCGACCCCTACACCTTCCTCACCGTTCTCGGAGGACGTTAGTCAGACAGAATCATTTGATAGTTTTCTGCCTGTGACTGAGGATGAGGTGAGGCGAGTCATCATCAGGTCTGCTCCCAAGTCTTGTGCCCTCGATCCTATCCCCGTCCCACTGCTTGTAGAATGCCTTGACGTCCTCCTCCCAGCACTCACCTCCATCATAAATTCTTCGATTCTCTCTGGCATATTCCCTCCCATTTTTAAACGGTCGATTGTCCTGCCCCTCCTAAAGAAACCCTCACTTGATCCAAACACACTCAAGAATTACCGCCCCGTCAGCAACCTCTCCTTTCTCTCAAAAATCATAGAAAAACTCATACTCTCTCAGCTCTCTGGCTATCTTCATTCTCGCAATCTCTATCCTTCCTCTCAGTCCGCCTACCGACTTGGTCATAGCACAGAAACAGCACTGGTCCGAGTCATGAGTGACCTCCTGCGCGCGATGGACGATGGCAAACTCTCTATTCTCACTCTGTTAGATCTCTCTGCTGCATTTGATACCATTGACCACCAGATTCTTCTTGACCGCCTTCATCTTTCTTTCGGACTTACTGGCTCAGCTTTAAACTGGTTTCAATCATATCTTTCTGACAGAACTCAAAAAGTCTCTATTTCCAACCGCTCTTCCAAACCTTCAGCCCTGTCTATTGGAGTTCCTCAAGGATCGGTCCTTGGGCCGGTCCTTTTCATCCTCTACACTAAACCTCTATCATCTCTCATTAGCCACCACTCAGTTTCCAGTCAATCCTTTGCTGATGACACTCAAATCAGTGACTCTTGCTTTCCTGATCAACTTGATGCCACAATCCTTCGCATACAGGAGTGCGTGGACGATGTAAAGCGTTGGATGACTTGCAACAAACTGAAGCTAAATGATGATAAAACGGAAATCCTTCTCATCCACTCTCAAAACAAACCTCTCCCTCCATTCGCTCCTTCTTCTATATCTATTGGCAACTCTGACATCACACTCTCTCCCTCTGCCAGAAACCTTGGAGTCACGCTTACGGACACCCTCTCCATGGACAAACATGTCACGAATATATGCAGATCAGCATATAACGAAATTAGAAAAATCAGCACCATTAGACACCTCCTCTCCTTTGATGCCACAAAAACTCTCGTCTCTTCACTCATTCTTTCAAAATTTGACTACTGTAACATTCTTCTCTCAGGCATTCCTCAACACCACATAGAAAAACTTCAGAAGGCACAGAACTCAGCATGCAGACTCATTTTTAAATCAAAGAAACATGACCACATTCAACCACACATGCGGCAACTCCACTGGCTTCCAATATCCTCTCGCATCAAATACAAGTCTGCCAATCTTTGCTTCAACTCGTTCACTGACCCTCACTTTCCTGTCTATCTCTCTGAACTGTTGCTTCCTTACATCCCCACAAGACAACTACGTTCTTCCATTGACAGTAGAACCCTCTCAATCCCAAGAACTAAAACTAAGACCATCGGTGAACGCTCCTTCTGCTTCCATGGGCCCACGTTCTGGAACCAGCTCCCCTTCCATATACGTCATAGTGAAACCTCGTCCATTTTCAAAAAGTCCCTTAAAACTCATCTGTTTAGGTCCGCCTATGACCTGTGATGCACCCTCCTTGCCCTACCTCATTTTCTGTTTCGGGTTGATCCTGAAGTGTCAAAGTGTCCTCGTTTTATAGCCATTTTCATTGTTTCTATAGAATAGTAGTTACTATCCAAGTGTCTCATTTGTATTTACTTAGTTTACATGTTTTAATAATTGTAAAAGCGCTTAGAGCTTTATGATAAGCGCTATATAAAAATGCCTAAATAAATAAATAAATAAATAAATTAGAGAAAAAACCACTCGTGACAAATAATACAAGTAAAAGACAGAGATTTTTTTCAGGACATTTTCTTTTTTTATATCAGATGACAGTGTAAAGATAATTTATTATACAATTAAATTATAATCGGACAGTATAAGTTCTCTTTGTTATTACTTTTTTTTTTTAAATTCAAGTGCTCTTGGATATATTCCAGCTTATAAAAGTATCAGTTGATTTCTAAAAAAGTCATTTCATTGAGAAAAACAGACCTAAATTAAGTGAAATCAATCTTTTTCATATCTTTCCTTTTTTTTTTTACATGAGGGGTTAAAAAATTTGGAGTAATTAAAGTTTACCTGATCTTTCGATATCCTCATTGGCTTATTGAGCAGAACCCACGTGACCGTCTCGTAGCATCCGGGCTGAGTAAGGGAGCCCTCATACGTGACGTACTCACTGGTCTTGGGCAGGAGGTGGGCTAAGGAGATGTCACGGACCATCGTCATGCTTCCTGTTGCACCATGTGGCGGGGAGTTTGGGGAGAGAAGACAGAATTTCAACATAACACCGGACAGAGAAAATATAATAATTTACATTTATTTAGAAGACAAAAAGGCTGGAGTGATCTCTGACGGACAAATATCGATTTGTGAATTGAATTTTTTTTTCTCATGCTGAAGTTGCAAAAAAAAAATTAACGCCATTGATATATAACATTTAAATCTATGTTTAGTATTATGTATAGATCTCTTGAAAATATCCAACTTTTATGATGTCTGAAGTCAGATTTGTTTCGTTTATTTAGATTTTTTTTTTTTAAATTACACTCTTTAAAGCAGTTTAGTGGTTCTCACCCTTCCTAATGCCACGACCCTTTAATACAGTTCCTCGTGTTGTGTTGACCCCCAAACATAAAACTATTTTCGTTGCAACTACAAAAATATGTGTTTTCCATGTAAGGGTCGTTCGACCCCCAAAGGCGTCACGACCCACATGTTGAGAACCGCTGCTTTAAAGAAAGGGTTTCTTTCATCTCCAAAGAGTAAATAATTATAGTAAAAAAAAAATATCTTCCTCACAATCATGCACGCATATAGATACATGCACGCGCGCAAACACACACACAGACACTCCCATACAGTCTTATTTAAACCAGCTTCAGAAAACTTTGATAAATTCGGCTGTGCACGATTACATGGGCGACTCCGCTCAACAAGCAAACCCCACCCCCCCTTCCCCCCTCCCGCCACGTCTCAGCGCACGATTTTTATCTAACCTCCTCGCCCATGGCAATTTAAGTAGGAAATTGGAAGGCGCAGCGAGCTTTGCTTTGGGAATTTATTTATTTTAAACGTCGAATAGCAAAAATGTCATCTCCGAAATTGACATATTTCTGCCAAGGGACAAAACAGAAAAGGAAGCATAGAGATCCTTGGAACACGTCGAAATGGCAAAGCCTGGTGAGTGGGGCGGAGTAGGCTGGATTCAGGGTCGGAATATCCAGTGCTTGGGGGGGGGGGGCGTGAGATTTTTCCAGGGTCACAGGCAGGGGCGTCATTTCAGGTTTCTCAGCGGGTGTGGGTGGGGGGGGGAAACCAAAACTTGGTCGGCTTGTTAAGTTGTTTATTACTGGAGGCGCCACAGTACATAGCAATTTATATATTTCAGGTTTCTCAGCGGGTGTGGGTGGGGGGGGGAAACCAAAACTTGGTCGGCTTGTTAAGTTGTTTATTACTGGAGGCGCCACAGTACATAGCAATTTATATAAAACCTGCAAATTCAAAAGGGGGGGGGGGCAAATACCTTGCCCTACCCAAATGACGTCCCTGGTCCCAAAGGCTCAACAGATCCGGACATGAGGCCCCCCGGTTATTTGTTGTTTTTAAAAATCATTTGAACCTGATAGTAAGTCAGTTATATGCCTGAAGTCGAACATTGATTGTTTAATGATCGAATCAAAATTGGCATATATGTATATATATAAGGAGAACATATATATAGAAAGTATGTGCTATGAGCTAGATCCCTTCTATATGCGCCGTGACACAGGTTATTGTACTGGCTGTTTCACGTGACCCTGATCCCCTGAAGAGCGCAATCCGGCCACGGTTGAAGTTGGTCTCTTTTTTCAAACAGGTTGCAATGGTCAATGGTCAGTGGTCAATGGTCGGTGGTCAATGGTTAGTGGTCAATGGTCAGTGGTCAATAGTTGGTGGTCAAATGTCAAATTGTCGGTGGTCAATGGTCAGTGGTCAGTGGTCAATGGTTAGTGGTCAATAGTTGGTGGTCAATAGCCGGTGGTCAATAGTTGGTGGTCAAAGGTCAAATTGTCGGTGCTCAATGGTCGGTGGTCTATCAAATTAGGCTGATCAGAAAACTGGTCATTGGTTGCATATCTTAAGGGTGTAAAGTATAAAATAAAGATTTCGAAAGAAATAAGCTGTTTCTTAGTTAAGCAATGTGTAGTTTCCCTGTTCACATTCATCACGCACCCACAACCAACGACACATTGCCGTGCCTGTTGGCAGTGAAGCCGACATGGATCAGACATGCGTGGCTTATGTATTACCTTTGTACTGCAACCACTGGAGCTCTTTGGAGATGTAGTAGAAGGATTTGTCGATCTCTTTACCAACCTGAAGCGGGGAAAATATTTATATTTAAAAAAAAAACATCTATAGATCCAGCCTCTTTAAGCGGTGCAAAGTCCCCTGTGGAACCTAAACCCCTGCTCAAATCTCTGCTGCGATTTGGTTCCGAACTTCGCCTCTAACATTGAACTTGCTATCAAGACATTGGTTGGGGGCCGGGGGGGGGGGAGGGGGGGCTGCAGTAGTTAAGGGATATAAAATCTTACGTTAGAAAGGGTTACTGCGTGTCCTGGTTTCTTACGTAAGCAAAAACTTCAAAATTTAAATAAATTAAACTAAATTTTTTACACAATTTTAACACACACCAAGAGGCTGACTTCTTGCCAAATCTTTTCTTCATGCTCCTTATATATTATAAACCGAAGACGGTAGAGACACGCTCAGACTCCAGCTCCATTCGGGAATTAAAAAAAAAAAAAAAAACTACTCCGAGACTCCGAACCACCAGGCCGGCTGGCTAGACAAATCGTATTGCCTCTCACTCTCACCCTAACTTCGTGATGTTGTTGTAGCAGCAATCCTCCACGACTCCTTCTTCGTGGCGCTCCTCTCCTTTACCACAGGAATATATTCGACCCTATTAGGAGTTACTCTGATATTTCTGAAGAACAAAAATTGACTTGTGTTTGGTGCTTTTCTTCTTCTTCACGTCACCAGCAAAAGGAAATTTCTTGGTTTTTTTTTTTTTTTACCTATAACGACCGTCTGGAGCTGCCCGGAGCCACCCGAGAAAGATGGCTGACCTTGACCCTCACATGAACACTACAGACAACCCTAATTTCCGGTACGTAGAAAACTGACAAGGATTTTCTTTCAATGTGGAACTTCTACGGCTCATGACGTCAGAAGTCATTACTGTGATTATGTGTATTTTTTTTATTCCCTGCGATGCTGTCACGCATTCGTTGATTGACAGCCTGTGATCTCGTGCGATGAGAAATATGAACACATTCCTACGAGTAATTTTAACTTCCGCCCTGATGAGTAATTTTAACTTCCGTTCTGATGAGCAATTTTAACTTCCGTTCTGATGAGCAATTTTAACTTCCGTTCTAAAAAGTAATTTTAACTTCCGTTCTGATTAGTAATTTTAACTTCCGTTCCGAATTATATGTTTGAGTATGGAGCATTTTTTTCTCCAAAATTTGGAAAAGCGTGTGGACACTTGCAAACATTTAAAGTACGCTTTGCATGGCTGGTTTATTTGATGTAATAAGAAGTTGTAATAAGCATTATGGCATAGTATTGACAATAGAAATACTTTAGGACATACCACATGCAACTGACTCACAATAGATATATTTTAGAAAGTATCTCATACAACTGACAATAGAAATACTTACGGAAATGTCACATACAACAGACAATAGACATATTTTAGGCTTTAGGCTCAAACTCTAGCCCTAATTCCACTTTCCATAATTTTGTTAGAAGCCGTTTTGACTGTGCTTTGTCTATGCTGACCCTTTCTTAAAATGATTCACTGACATTGTTAAAGAAATGAGATTGTTACAAAAATGAGATTGTTACAGAAATGAGATTTTTCAGATATGAGATTGTTACAAAAATGAGATTGCTACAGAAATGAGATTGCTACAGAAATGAGATTGCTACAGATATGAGATTGTTACAGAAATGAGATTGCTACAGAAATGAGATTGTTACAGAAATGAGATTGCTACAGAAATGAGATCGCTAAAGAAATGAGATTGCTACAGAAATGATATTGCTACAGAAATGAGATTGCTACAAAAATGAGATTGGTACAGAAATGAGATTGTTACAGAAATGAGATTGCTACAGAAATGAGATTGCTACAAAAATGAGATTGCTACAGAAATGAGATTGTTACAGAAATGAGATTGCTACAGAAATGACATTATTACAGAAATAAGATTGTTACAGAAATGAGATTATTGCAGAAATGAGATTATTACAGAAATGAGATTATTACAGAAATGATAATGCTAAAAAATGAGATTGTTACAGAAATGAGATTGTTTCAGATATGAGATTGTTACAAAAATGAGATTGCTACAGAAATGAGATTGCTACAGAAATGAGATTGCTACAGATATGAGATTGTTACAGAAAGGAGGTTGCTACAAAAATGAGATTTTTACAGAAGTTTTGAACAGATAATCATGTTGCTCACCTTCAACTACGACTTCAAATTTCCTTAGTGTAGAGACATATGACCCGCATGCACTCACCTCTATGAACACTGCTATGATGGCCAAACCCTTGACCCCTCTGGTCGCGTCGCTGAGATTTTTGTAGAGTTCGCTGTTGTAGGCGATCACGTGCATCTGGCCAGGAGGAAAAGTAAATGTTTGTTTTATTATTAACGAGAGAAGTGGAATGTGTCTCCAATCTATTTAAGATACAATCCCTCGACTGGCATCTAAAGTCTAAACATTATGTTGGAGGTAGGGCTGTTTTAGAAAGAATAACTATCCAGGGAAGAAAAGCTTTTGCTGCGGGAATATGTGTGGGTTGCCTAATAACAAAGGGCAAGGATGACTTACTTGTGTAACACAAATGATTTGACTCTCCGTGCTTGTAATTAGGTCATATAAACTTTTAACTTGGATATTCACATAAATTAGCACCTGCAGCAAGGCGAAAACCCTTTGGTTGGACAAATCTACAATAAGGTTGTACAAATCTATACCATAAGGTTGGACAAATCTATGCCATAGTGTTGGACAAATCTACCATAGTGTTGGACAAATCTATGCCATAGGGTTGGACAAATCTACAATAAGGTTGGACAAATCTATACCATAGGGTTGGACAAATCTACCATAGTGTTGGACAAATCTATACCATAGGGTTGGACAAATATACCATAGTGTTGGACAAATCTATACCATAGGGTTGGACAAATCTACAATAAGGTTGGACAAATCTATACCATAGGGTTGGACAAATCTACCATAGTGTTGGACAAATCTATACCATAGGGTTGGACAAATCTACAATAAGGTTGGACAAATCTACAATAAGGTTGGACAAATCTATACCATAGGGTTGGACAAATCTACAATAAGGTTGGACAAATCTATACCATAGGGTTGGACAAATCTATGCCATATGGTTGGACAAATCTACCATTGGGTTGGACAAATCTATACCATAGGGTTGGACAAATCTATGCCATAGGGTTGGACAAATCTACCATAGGGTTGGACAAATCTACCATAGGGTTGGACAAATCTACCATTGGGTTGGACAAATCTATACCATAGGGTTGGACAAATCTACCATTGCGTTGGACAAATTTATACCATAGGGTTGGACAAATCTGTACCATAGGGTTGGACAAATCTATACCATAGGGTTGGACAAATCTATACCATAGGGTTGGACAAATCTATACCATAGACATAGAAATCATTTCTTATTATAGTTTTATTTATAAGGTGGCAATTTTACCAGCATCAAAACCATGACAGTTTTAAAACGCTTCACATTTAAAATCTGTACTGGTTTCAGCTCATACCAAACCAATTCAAAGATGCAAAAGCTCAGTTACTCAAAGTTACTGTCCTGGTAAAAACAGTAGAAATGGTTATTTAGGTACTGAGCCACTTTTTGCCCATGTTACACGACATTGTGTAATTCGTCAGTGTTGGATTTGGTTTGGGAAGTTAGGTTGTAAAGAAGGGCAGGTACCTCCTACCATTCAGCGGTCAACCATCTCTCTCTACTTGTAGCACCCCCCAACTCTCTGCATTAAAGCTGCTCCCGTCAATACTATTGTTGCATCCGCCGCTGCTTCATGTCACCCTCTTTATTTGCTGCACCTGACAACAGCCCTGTTCGTTAATCGACCATTATATTGTAGACAAGTCTGGGTAAGTGTCCTCGCTGTGAGACTCTCATAAAACTCTTGATGCCGGGCGCTCAATGCCAGTCGTTAGCATGTCCCACTTGCCGGTATGGATTTAAGAAATCTTCGGGTCTGACATAGAATTCGGACTCGGTTTTTATTCTTTATTATTTTTTTTTTTACAGATGTGTGTGTGTGTGTGTGTGTATGTGTGTGTGTCGTGCGTGAAGCATGTTGTAAATGTTGTACTATTTGATCGGTTTAATCACAATTAATTTAAATGTGATAACATCATAGAAAAGACACATTAAACTAGCAGCCCATTAAATTGTATCCTAAAAGAGGTATATTTAGGGAATCGTACAATTTATAGGTTATTGGCATATTTAGGTTTTATGGCATTTGAATTTCAGCTCCAGTAGCAGAGTATAATTGTGAGTTAAGCAATCGCCTACAAGATATTTGTGATCATGAAATGGGAAGGTCTCAAAACAAGTCTAGATTTCACATACGAGATATTTGTGATCATGAAATGGAAAGGTCTCAAAAGAAGTCTAGATTTCACTTACGATATATTTGTGATCATGAAATGGAAAGGTCTCAAGTTAAGTCTAGATTTCGCACAAAGCCTTCAATAACTTACACAATTTCGGTGTTCACAAAAGACATGCGTGGAGATGTGTGGATTTAGGATTCATAGAAAATAAATGTATACAAATAATATACACAGAGCATTCGTGGGAGATAACATCGGAGAGGTGTGATGACGTAAGAAAGTCGGATAACTTTAGTGAGGTAAGCAAGGGCATAACACGCGCGAGGCGCCAGGGTTCGGTAACCACGGAGACTCATTAAGCGTCCATCGATCAGGGCTGACCGTCAAGTCGCAACATTAATTTCAAGATGATAAATATGAAAGAAATATCAGAGGGAGAAATCCACTTTCCTCATCGCTGCCGCGATCAATTTTTAGGGGGCGAGTCTATTACTTTTTGTCTCGTCTGATAGCAGTTTATCCACATTTGGGCCAGATTGGACGCGGGACTACGGGACAGACGATCGGATGTGGTTCTGGAGGCGGTGGGGGTTAGTAGGTACCTGGGTTGGATGGGGAGGGGGGGGGTAGAGTCAGAATTAGATTTCACGTGAAGGGGGATTGGGGGGGGGTGCGAACGGAGGGTCATGTGTAGTGCTCTGAGATACTTGTAGGTACCTGGGTTGGATGGGGAGGGGGGGGGTAGAGTCAGAATTAGATTTCACGTGAAGGGGGATTGGGGGGGGGTGCGAACGGAGGGTCATGTGTAGTGCTCTGAAATACTAAAGGGGGTTGGGGGTGGGGGGATGGCCAGGATTGCAAGAGTTTAAAATTGATTTTAAAACATAGCCTATATATTTGTTGTGCGAGTGTGTTGTTGTTGACTATTTTACTTCTCTATAGCATTTCATTTGACATATCTTAAAGCAATCAGAAAGGTATTTGAACATGTAAATGGTCTCATGTTAAATGCGTCAAACGCACGGTGCAAGGCGAACTGGAGTCAGGCGTACTTCTCACGTAAGCTGGATGGGCGCCATTTTGTTCACTCTTGTTAGTTCTTTTTCAAAGTAATACACTTATGCACTTTACTACGCGTCCTCTATAGTTTGGGTGGGGGGTCGATGGGGGTAACCGTTTTGTCATGAATTACCCAGAGGTGTATCATTGATTAATTGCAAACTCTGGGTCTTTTTGCTCACCCCTGGCACTGCCCCCCCCCACCTTGTTTTGAGAGCCCCTGCAGTAAGGCGTGTTGCGCCTTCTATTACTTCTCGTCTGTGAAATTTATTTATATAAGAGGCCCTATTTTTGTTTTTGGTTTTAGTTTAGCGCATGGCTAAGTTTTATAAGCTTAAAAAAATATGTAGATCTTAAATTAACCAATCAAGTAAAAACTATTTGCAATCCTGCACCAAATTCAGACTTTTTATAAATTAATACGGATTTACATTTGATACATTTAAATAATTTCCATCAATAACGTTTTGGATTACGACCAAAAACAAAAAGAAGAAAAAAAGTAAGGATCTCCAAAAAATGATTCACTTTAAGTAAAAATACATTTGTGATAATATTTTTTGATAATTTGCTAATCAAAACGCCAATTATCTAGCTCTCATTGAGTCGAATTATTTTGCGGCATGGAAACAATTGTGTTAATAAATCGCCTACAATCTCCAACTAAAAATATATGATAAATTAATAAAATTCAACAATCAAATAATTTTTGCACTTCAAATAATACTACAGTTTTCCCCATTATAGTCTTTGGACGAGGACGGCGCCTCTTTTCTTTAATGTGGACTGTGCGTGTGAGAAAATAAATGAGAGACGACCAGCTACAAGTCAGAGATCCGAACGAAGCGAGAGGAGCATGCCGTCATCCACTATACATTATGTTGAATTTCCTATAATTCCTTGCAAAAACTAGTTGTGTGCTCCAGTAGATTCCCCTAGCACAGTGGTCGGCGAATCCATGCGGCTCTTTAACGAACTGGGTACTGCTCGGCCTGTCGGCTACAAATCGGTTTTGACTCAGAGAAACATGGTTATTGATAGTTTCTTGAAAAGAAATTTGGCCTATAATTTTTTTTTTTTAAATTGCCCTGCTGCTGATTTTTGGCTCTTTTGACGAATGAGTTTAGCGACCACTGACCTAGCATCACTCGGGGGGGGGGGGGGCTATAATCAAAAAAAAAAGTCTAGAATGATCTTGGTTTGGGTTTAACTTTAATAAAAAAAATTTAAAGAGAAGATGAGCATGTGACCCCCCCCCCACAAACACACACACACCTGCACAATTTGATTAGTGTCAAGGGTCAATTGAATTAATTCCCTGCTGTGTATATCCCGTGCGGAGATGAGAGGACATGTCAAATGTTTCCGCATTTACTGTCACTTAGGAGTGACCTGATGGATTACCTCCGCCTCATTTGTTTCCCCTGAGCAATCAACCAATGAAAAAAAAAAAAAAAAAAAA